CGAATCAGCTGGCCTCCTCTCGCAACAGTGAATGCAATCTACTGTTTCACCATAACATCTAGAGGGGCGCTGTTTGTTTCACTCTTTGTAATAAATACTCAATGAGAGTGGGGGAGAGACGGGCCGGCAGCAACACACAGCAAAGGAGAATTATCGAAACAAAACAAAGTGTTTTTATTTATTTATTTAAATTATAACTATAATCCGAAAAAACAGGGGAAGCCTGGTTTCCCTTGGCCTCCGGGAGAAAACGCCACTGAAAATGAAAACACTCAAGTAAAGTACAAATACCTCAAAATGTTATTTTAGTATAGTAGTTGAGAAAATGTACTTAGTTACTTCCCACCTCTGTTGGACAATCAACCGGGAGGGAAAACAGAGACAGGAAGTATATATTAGCATTAACTATACATTCACTTATTATTTTTTACATACTGGTGTGCTGTAAACTCCATACCATAATTTGACAAGCTTTGATGTCTTAACTGTTATTGGTTTATCTGTGTGAAAAAAAAGTGAAGGTACAACAAGACCAAAATAACATAGTATTTGTTAGCCAAATGCCTCACCTCTGGCATTTGCGTTTTGGCAATGGGAACATTTCAATATGCATGCTCAACAACATCTCTCATTATTTACAGCAAAGCAGAAGTGGCATGTCACCGACTGCAGCTGATCCAAAGCATCAAGAGCAAAACCATCCCAACATTTACAGAACTACTGATTTGAGGAAACAGCTGAATGATGAGGTGAGCATCTGCTTCTGAATTATATATCATTATAAGAATATATAATGAGTATCATAAGGATTTATTGAATGTCTTATTGAGTTCAAGGGTACTAGCAGTATGAATCTGAACATATGAATCTGAATATATGGGTCATTCCAGAATTGGAGGACAATTTAGACACCAACATTTTAGAAAAATGAACCTTTTATTTCATTATTTTTTGTTATGTATTTAGGAAAAACAGATAATAAACCATCAAAAAAGTGATTTGCCCAGCTAATGCATCAAATGTATATTTTTCAATGAAGAATTAACCCTGTTACTTTAATTAGAGTAACAGGGTTGAAAATCAATGCTAATTTTAGCTTTTACCTCAGGAATTAATGCTAGATGTAGCATGTAATGCTACTTTCAAGGCAAGGACAAACTTGGATATTTAATGAAAAAAATATAACTTTGAATCTAATGTGCTTTATTCTGATAATATTAGTAACAGGGTTGAGTGGGTTACCCCTAGATTCCACCGCGTCCGTCTGCGGCGCGTTACGGCCGCGTTACGGCTGCGCCGCGGCGCTCACGGCGATCGCGGCCACTCTAGTCAATGGGTGCTATTCCACCACACGCAGCGCGTTACGGCTCAGAAGCGTCCCAGAAGCGTTGACCCGGCGCAGCCGTAACGTAAGGTCGGGCAGGCAGGAAGTGGAACGTTCAGAGCATATATAGCATATATATACACACACACAAACTAATTTTGCAGACCCTATCCCTCCGTAGTCTTTCAAGTAGGAGGAGAAATGCCAGCGTTCTCCTCCGGTTTACAGGCACTGTGTAAATTATATATATAGAATAATTATGATGATGAATGCATTTTTTTACCACTAAAATACAGCAACACACCTTTGATTCATGTCGTTTATAACTGGAATATTACAGTTATTATTAACTTTGTCTGTACAAAGTAGCCTGTCCAGGAAATATGCCCAAATCAACAAAAACTGCGAGCCGGCAGGCAAGACGCTCCGCTTCTGAAATGCTTCTGAAACGCGCCTGGTAGGGTATGACGCCGGACCAAAACCGCGGCGCAGCCGTAACGCGGCGCAGACGGACCCGGTGGAATCTAGGGGTTAGAGTGCCACACTATTTTAAGACTGAAAAGATTGTAAAAATATGAAAAATAAAAGAGAGGACTTATCTTTGGTCTACCCATGGCACTAGCACATGGCTTGCTGATGTCACTTCCTGTGTGTCATGTGACTTACAGTTTTTTCACTCCCTCTGCCAATCTAAAAAGGTTTCGGTAACAGGGTTGAACCTCTATGGTTGAACGCATGTTGAGGGACACCTTCTGTGCAAAATTACTGTTATTTAAAATATGTTTATGATTTAACAAATTGATTTTACCATTACAAGAGACATATATCAATAGAATAATACCAAAAAAAGTAAATAATCCCTATTTTAAATGTTATATTTGACATGCAAGTTGGTCACCAAGAAGCGGGGTCAAGAGAAAAATGCTATTTTAGGGGGTGGTCGAGAGCTATTTGATAATTTAAATAATATTTTGAAACCACTTTTTCTACAACTTTATATACATTTTGTCTCAAGACAAGTATGTTTAACACAACAAGTGCATGTTTTAACTTTTTGGGCATGGAATATTTGATTTTTTTATATGGGGGACATGAAATGTCCTCCAATTCTGGAATGACCCATAAATATTTCCAAACCCTCTCTTCATTCTACACCTTTTCTATTCTATATTTCTTTTCTTTCCTTTCTTAGAGGTTTAAAGTTTCAAGGCGCAAGGTTTGGATATTGTCATTCTACAACTCTGGGTTACCCAACAGAATGAAAGCTCTAGTCCCTGCATGCTGAACAAGAAAGAAACAAAACATAGTTATGAGCTCTCATCTCAAACAGTCATCACCTTAAACCCAAAGTGAACGCTGCGTCTGTTTTCTCTCTGTCTGAGTTCTGGCCTCCACAGGGATTTCCCCTGACAACCTTTAATATATCCATAAACATGATTTCTAATTTCAGTCGCCAAAGGAGATTGTCCAATTCAGGTCCCTGATAAGTGTGTCTCTGCTATTTGGAGACAATGTGGTTCTGTTGGCAGACCATGGTGTCCAGCAATCATTGGGCCCTTAGCAGCTGAGTGTGAAGCAGTCAGGATGAGAGTCAGTACCTTGAAGTCTGAAGCCAGGGGTCTATGCTAGAAAACGGTTGAATTCTCCCTCCGAGTTGTGAGGCAGTGAAGGAGTTAACAAATGTTTGCTAATGGGCAAGGGGTAAAGTAGAGTGTGAGATTGACAGGCAGATTGAAACAGAAGCAGCAGTAATGCATATGTTGTGTTGGTGAAGGGGGAGTTGAGCCCGAAGGCAAGTGTCCCATTTACCAATCGTTCTACGTTCCAACCCTCACTTATGATGATCTTCAGGGATTAAGTGAAATGGATAATTTGCTATCCGCCTATTCAGTGTTTTTTGCTCCATTCCTTCCTTTTATTCTCCCTCTAAATTAGTTAAACAGTGTGTATTCAAATGTTGCACACTTCAGAGGCATTTTGCCCAATGCCCCGCCTGTGTTGGATTCTCTTGTCCCATATGTGAAACCCATTATAACAAACCTGGGTGTACGGATTGATCGTAATTTTAAACTAGACAAACAGATAAATTCTGTGGTAAAATCCAACTTTTTTCAGCTAAGAATTGTAGCAAAGGTCAAGCCTTTCCTTTCTTTTAATGACTTTGAGAGAGTAATACATTGTTTTATATCCACTAAACTGGATTACTGCAATGCTCTGTACATTGGAGTAAGCAAGGCTTTCCTGTCTCGTCTACAGCTGGTCCAGAATGCTGCTGCACGCCTCCTTACAAGGACAGGCAGGCGTGAACATAATACGCCTGTACTCGCCTCTTTACACTGGCTACCAGTCAGTTTTAGAATACAATTTAAAATTGTACTGTTTGCATACAAAGCCCTAAACGGTTTAGCCCCACCGTACCTGGCAGATCTTTTAAAACCATACACACCCACACTGAGGTCTGCTGACAGATTACTTCTGGTAGTCCCTAAATCAAGGTTAAAGCAGCGAGGAGACAGAGCCTTTGCTGTTGCAGCTCCAAAAGTATGGAACGAATTGCCCCTCCAGGTTAGACTAGCTCCAACTCTGCCTGTTTTTAAATCTCGTTTAAAAACCCATTTCTTTTCCCTTGCATTTACAGACCAGGGGCCTCATTTATAAAGGGATATACGCTCAAAAAATGGCGTACGCCAGTTTCTACGCAATGTTTGCGATTTATAAAATACTAACTTGACGGGAAAATGTGCTGTCCTCCACGCAAACTCTAACCCATGCGTACGCACTAAGCACACAAACGGGAGAGACGAGAAACTGCGACACCGTTGGCAGAAGGAAGAATGGAGAGAAATATGTGGAAATAATACCATAAATAAAATGTTACCTCTCATTTATCATAATGAAGAATTCATTTTCAAATATTGATTAAAGCCAATCTTTAAATGATTAAACAAACGCCTGTTTGAGACTCCTCAGTGCACACAAAAACATAACTTGGAGAAATAAATAAATACGGATATGCTATTTAAAACCACCTCGAATATGTTGTGTTAATGTTATGAAATGTTTTCTCATAAATGATGCGGTAAGCAGGAGAACAGAATAACGTCTAAACTGACGCCGTTTTGTATTTCTATAGGTTGTAGATAGGAGCATGGTTTTATATACTATCACGTTTAATCGTGTTTTATGCCGTTTGCCAAGACTTGATAAGTCGCTCGTAAAACACAGGAGGTATGGAAACTAAGAACACCATATGTGGTAAATTGTACAGCTAATATAACACAACACATTGTATTTCCTTTAACTGGTGGATTATGGATATATAGTTGCTGATCGACAGCTGGAACACAAACCACCAAATACAACAAAAATAATTCAGATCCAGTCGTCATGACTCCACTCCGGAGGGATTCCCCGATCATTTCTTAGAGTTTCTCATCAAGGGGGTGTCTCCTGTCCCCGGGACAAACACACTGCCTGAGGAAGGTTATGTGTATTTTTTTTGTCATTAACTTTTTTCGGACCACTTATTTATTTATTTTGGTGACGATCCGACCTCCATGCTGCTACTCTGGTTCAAACTGCATCCACCAAACAATATGATTTATCTCGACCTCCCCACAATAACCAAAATCTGACACGGTGTGAGATGTCTTTTTTAGCTAACTAACTGTTATTGGTTTATCTGTGTGAAAAAAAAGTGAAGGTACAACAAGACCAAAATAACATAGTATTTGTTAGCCAAATGCCTCACCTCTGGCATTTGCGTTTTGGCAATGGGAACATTTCAATATGCATGCTCAACAACATCTCTCATTATTTACAGCAAAGCAGAAGTGGCATGTCACCGACTGCAGCTGATCCAAAGCATCAAGAGCAAAACCATCCCAACATTTACAGAACTACTGATTTGAGGAAACAGCTGAATGATGAGGTGAGCATCTGCTTCTGAATTATATATCATTATAAGAATATATAATGAGTATCATAAGGATTTATTGAATGTCTTATTGAGTTCAAGGGTACTAGCAGTATGAATCTGAACATATGAATCTGAATATATGGGTCATTCCAGAATTGGAGGACAATTTAGACACCAACATTTTAGAAAAATGAACCTTTTATTTCATTATTTTTTGTTATGTATTTAGGAAAAACAGATAATAAACCATCAAAAAAGTGATTTGCCCAGCTAATGCATCAAATGTATATTTTTCAATGAAGAATTAACCCTGTTACTTTAATTAGAGTAACAGGGTTGAAAATCAATGCTAATTTTAGCTTTTACCTCAGGAATTAATGCTAGATGTAGCATGTAATGCTACTTTCAAGGCAAGGACAAACTTGGATATTTAATGAAAAAAATATAACTTTGAATCTAATGTGCTTTATTCTGATAATATTAGTAACAGGGTTGAGTGGGTTACCCCTAGATTCCACCGCGTCCGTCTGCGGCGCGTTACGGCCGCGTTACGGCTGCGCCGCGGCGCTCACGGCGATCGCGGCCACTCTAGTCAATGGGTGCTATTCCACCACACGCAGCGCGTTACGGCTCAGAAGCGTCCCAGAAGCGTTGACCCGGCGCAGCCGTAACGTAAGGTCGGGCAGGCAGGAACTGGAACGTTCAGAGCATATATAGCATATATATACACACACACAAACTAATTTTGCAGACCCTATCCCTCCGTAGTCTTTCAAGTAGGAGGAGAAATGCCAGCGTTCTCCTCCGGTTTACAGGCACTATATATAGAATAATTATGATGATGAATGCATTTTTTTACCACTAAAATACAGCAACACACCTTTGATTCATGTCGTTTATAACTGGAATATTACAGTTATTATTAACTTTGTCTGTACAAAGTAGCCTGTCCAGGAAATATGCCCAAATCAACAAAAACTGCGAGCCGGCAGGCAAGACGCTCCGCTTCTGAAATGCTTCTGAAACGCGCCTGGTAGGGTATGACGCCGGACCAAAACCGCGGCGCAGCCGTAACGCGGCGCAGACGGACCCGGTGGAATCTAGGGGTTAGAGTGCCACACTATTTTAAGACTGAAAAGATTGTAAAAATATGAAAAATAAAAGAGAGGACTTATCTTTGGTCTACCCATGGCACTAGCACATGGCTTGCTGATGTCACTTCCTGTGTGTCATGTGACTTACAGTTTTTTCACTCCCTCTGCCAATCTAAAAAGGTTTCGGTAACAGGGTTGAACCTCTATGGTTGAACGCATGTTGAGGGACACCTTCTGTGCAAAATTACTGTTATTTAAAATATGTTTATGATTTAACAAATTGATTTTACCATTACAAGAGACATATATCAATAGAATAATACCAAAAAAAGTAAATAATCCCTATTTTAAATGTTATATTTGACATGCAAGTTGGTCACCAAGAAGCGGGGGTCAAGAGAAAAATGCTATTTTAGGGGGTGGTCGAGAGCTATTTGATAATTTAAATAATATTTTGAAACCACTTTTTCTACAACTTTATATACATTTTGTCTCAAGACAAGTATGTTTAACACAACAAGTGCATGTTTTAACTTTTTGGGCATGGAATATTTGATTTTTTATATGGGGGACATGAAATGTCCTCCAATTCTGGAATGACCCATAAATATTTCCAAACCCTCTCTTCATTCTACACCTTTTCTATTCTATATTTCTTTTCTTTCCTTTCTTAGAGGTTTAAAGTTTCAAGGCGCAAGGTTTGGATATTGTCATTCTACAACTCTGGGTTACCCAACAGAATGAAAGCTCTAGTCCCTGCATGCTGAACAAGAAAGAAACAAAACATAGTTATGAGCTCTCATCTCAAACAGTCATCACCTTAAACCCAAAGTGAACGCTGCGTCTGTTTTCTCTCTGTCTGAGTTCTGGCCTCCACAGGGATTTCCCCTGACAACCTTTAATATATCCATAAACATGATTTCTAATTTCAGTCGCCAAAGGAGATTGTCCAATTCAGGTCCCTGATAAGTGTGTCTCTGCTATTTGGAGACAATGTGGTTCTGTTGGCAGACCATGGTGTCCAGCAATCATTGGGCCCTTAGCAGCTGAGTGTGAAGCAGTCAGGATGAGAGTCAGTACCTTGAAGTCTGAAGCCAGGGGTCTATGCTAGAAAACGGTTGAATTCTCCCTCCGAGTTGTGAGGCAGTGAAGGAGTTAACAAATGTTTGCTAATGGGCAAGGGGTAAAGTAGAGTGTGAGATTGACAGGCAGATTGAAACAGAAGCAGCAGTAATGCATATGTTGTGTTGGTGAAGGGGGAGTTGAGCCCGAAGGCAAGTGTCCCATTTACCAATCGTTCTACGTTCCAACCCTCACTTATGATGATCTTCAGGGATTAAGTGAAATGGATAATTTGCTATCCGCCTATTCAGTGTTTTTTGCTCCATTCCTTCCTTTTATTCTCCCTCTAAATTAGTTAAACAGTGTGTATTCAAATGTTGCACACTTCAGAGGCATTTTGCCCAATGCCCCGCCTGTGTTGGATTCTCTTGTCCCATATGTGAAACCCATTATAACAAACCTGGGTGTACGGATTGATCGTAATTTTAAACTAGACAAACAGATAAATTCTGTGGTAAAATCCAACTTTTTTCAGCTAAGAATTGTAGCAAAGGTCAAGCCTTTCCTTTCTTTTAATGACTTTGAGAGAGTAATACATTGTTTTATATCCACTAAACTGGATTACTGCAATGCTCTGTACATTGGAGTAAGCAAGGCTTTCCTGTCTCGTCTACAGCTGGTCCAGAATGCTGCTGCACGCCTCCTTACAAGGACAGGCAGGCGTGAACATAATACGCCTGTACTCGCCTCTTTACACTGGCTACCAGTCAGTTTTAGAATACAATTTAAAATTGTACTGTTTGCATACAAAGCCCTAAACGGTTTAGCCCCACCGTACCTGGCAGATCTTTTAAAACCATACACACCCACACTGAGGTCTGCTGACAGATTACTTCTGGTAGTCCCTAAATCAAGGTTAAAGCAGCGAGGAGACAGAGCCTTTGCTGTTGCAGCTCCAAAAGTATGGAACGAATTGCCCCTCCAGGTTAGACTAGCTCCAACTCTGCCTGTTTTTAAATCTCGTTTAAAAACCCATTTCTTTTCCCTTGCATTTACAGACCAGGGGCCTCATTTATAAAGGGATATACGCTCAAAAAATGGCGTACGCCAGTTTCTACGCAATGTTTGCGATTTATAAAATACTAACTTGACGGGAAAATGTGCTGTCCTCCACGCAAACTCTAACCCATGCGTACGCACTAAGCACACAAACGGGAGAGACGAGAAACTGCGACACCGTTGGCAGAAGGAAGAATGGAGAGAAATATGTGGAAATAATACCATAAATAAAATGTTACCTCTCATTTATCATAATGAAGAATTCATTTTCAAATATTGATTAAAGCCAATCTTTAAATGATTAAACAAACGCCTGTTTGAGACTCCTCAGTGCACACAAAAACATAACTTGGAGAAATAAATAAATACGGATATGCTATTTAAAACCACCTCGAATATGTTGTGTTAATGTTATGAAATGTTTTCTCATAAATGATGCGGTAAGCAGGAGAACAGAATAACGTCTAAACTGACGCCGTTTTGTATTTCTATAGGTTGTAGATAGGAGCATGGTTTTATATACTATCACGTTTAATCGTGTTTTATGCCGTTTGCCAAGACTTGATAAGTCGCTCGTAAAACACAGGAGGTATGGAAACTAAGAACACCATATGTGGTAAATTGTACAGCTAATATAACACAACACATTGTATTTCCTTTAACTGGTGGATTATGGATATATAGTTGCTGATCGACAGCTGGAACACAAACCACCAAATACAACAAAAATAATTCAGATCCAGTCGTCATGACTCCACTCCGGAGGGATTCCCCGATCATTTCTTACAGTTTCTCATCAAGGGGGTGTCTCCTGTCCCCGGGACAAACACACTGCCTGAGGAAGGTTATGTGTATTTTTTTTGTCATTAACTTTTTTCGGACCACTTATTTATTTATTTTGGTGACGATCCGACCTCCATGCTGCTACTCTGGTTCAAACTGCATCCACCAAACAATATGATTTATCTCGACCTCCCCACAATAACCAAAATCTGACACGGTGTGAGATGTCTTTTTTAGCTGTTCTATCGTAATTTCCTGCGATCTTCTTCATGCAGTCAGTCAGAATGAATGAATGAATGGGCGTTTCTTTGACTATGTATAGGCAAATATGGGCGTTACGAGTCGATTGTGATTTATCAAGGGAAACAGGCGTAGGGAGTGCCGTACGCACTTCCCTCGCCGGTACGCAATGTTTTGTGAATCGGAAAATGGCGGAAAATTTATGTACCTATTTTTGTGCTTTGTACTACGTAAGCAACCTTCCTACGTCAATCCTACGCAAGGCGTTATAAATGAGGCCCCAGGTGACACTTGTGCTGTTAAATTTGGGTTTTTATCTTACTAGTGTTTTGTATTGTTTTTACGTCATTTAGGAGAGTTATTCAGTCTGTGGCTTCTGATCTGGTTTCATTGTCTCGTGTTTTACATTTGTTTCATGTCCTGTCTGTTTTTTATGTATTTATGCTATGTTTTTTTATACAGTTGTTGATGTACAGCACATTGATCAACTCTGTTGTTTTTAAATGTGCTATATAAATAAAGTGGATTGGATTGGATTGGATTTTGTATTAAACTATTCAGGATGTTTTAAAATATTTTTAATTGTGTTATTTTCTATTAGTGCTGCTCAAACACTGGTGTCCAGACTGGAGGCCCTGCAGTGCCACTTCACCTGGGATCTTGACCTCAGCAGGTCCTTACTTTTACGTTATAGGGACAACTTGATAGACATTGGTACTGAGAATGGAAACAAATGGCTGGGTCATATCTACAACCTGCGGGGGTTCATTCAGTACAAGCTGGGATCCAATGAAGACGCCCAAAGTTTCTTCAACAAGGCTACAGAGGCTTTCAGCCAGATAAAAAACACAGATGAGGGACCCTGGTTAGTGGTGAACTACGGGAACCTGGCTTGGCTGCACCACCACCTGGGAGACCAAGCAGAGAGCGAGGCCTACCTGTCAAAGGTCGACGCCCTGAATAAAAAATACCCATCTCCATCCCAGGAGGAGCTCCACCCAGAGATCTACGCTGAAAAAGCCTATACGCTGATGACGTTTCACGGCGACATGAACCTGGTTGCAGATTACTTCCAGAGAGCCATCGAGATGCAGCCGGACATGGTGGAGTGGAACAGCTGGCATGTCTTAGCGTTAACGTATGCTTATAGGTGCAGCAGCACAGGGCTGGAAGATGACATCTTTAAGAAAATGAGAATTGCCCAAGAACAGGATCCAGAGAACTTGGACCTTGCTGCTCAATACCTTTGGCAACGTGCTAGGAGAGGAGAAAGTATTGAAGATGAAGCACGTGAGTTAGCCACAAAGGTTTTGTGGAATCCTGTCAGCAGCTACAGTGGTTTAAGACCATTGCTATGGGTTTACGGAAAATATATATCTGATGATGAGGACATTGATTTGGCAGAAGAGGCTCTGAAGAAACGTCCAAATGAGCGTTATCTGAAGAAACGTGCTGCTCTCTGCTACCAAAAGAGGCTCCTTTGCCCTAACAGTCCCCCAACGAAAAGCATGCTAGCCAGAGCAGTCAGTCTCCATCAGGAGGTGATTGCTCTTTACCCTGATTCCTCATTTTGTAGGAAAATACACCTTGCCACGATATACGTACTGTCACATGACTATGAGGCTAAAGCCGAAGAGCTATATGAGGAACTGCTAATAAGTGATCTGGAACTTGAAGATAAACAGGTGCTTTTCAACAGCTACGCAAAATATTTACATTACCAAAAACAGGATAGCCACATGTCAATACGATATCACATGGAGGCAGCAAAGATACAGCACCAATCCTTCTTTCGTAAGAACAGCATCAGAATTCTGGAGAACATTAGAGACAAAGGCAGACACAGAATGTGTGGAGAAATAAGGGAGTTTCTGGAAAACCTGCAAGAGCCGTAGTGTTTTTAACAGCAATGGTTTGAAATCCAGGAAAATATAGCATTAGCAACAGATTATTTTGCTAAATCAATATTAAAAAAAAAGAATAGAACATAAAAAAGTGAAATAAACATCACTCTCTCAACTCTCTTTTAATGAACTTCGTGATGTAAACAAACAAAAAAAGGACTTTAAACAAAGAGTTCACATTGTTTAACTTAGAATAAAGCACACTGAAGATATACAGGTATAAATACAGTTTTTTCTGAGTTTCAGATATTATGTTAAATAGTGATAAAACGTGAACAGTGTCATGTGACTCCAATCTGTTTTGTTCATCTGCTAACGATCATGTGATAGGACTGAAAGCTCCAGAATAATGAATTGACCCTGATGTGAGATTGTTTTGTTTGTATTCTTTCCAAAGTGGAAAAGGATTTTATTTTGTATTTTCAACTTTTAGCTAAATATGTAATGTAGATTTGAAAATGTAATTTCTATGAAAAGCTCCAGTCAAACTCTATGTGCTGATGAAAATGATGTGATACATAAAACTACCGTAAAGACTCTGTGGGGAGAGTCTTTTGATTCAGGCTAAAAAATGTCATATACTAGTAAGTACTAAAAACTGTGACATTTCAACAGATTTGTAAACTGAATGTTTTTTTCTGTGAAAACCTAGTTCCTGATTAAAATGAGGTCAAAACTATATTTTTAGGAAGATTCATCATCTGCTTGTATTTAGACAACATTCAGTAACTTTGGCTTTGGTAGAAAAAAAAAATCTTTTGGGCTTTTGTTTGACAACTTTTATTTAAAAACTCTCTTCCATATACTATGCACTATATCCCTTTTTGGTATATTTTAACCAATTGTGTGTAACAGAGCTGTATTTTTTTTTGTTTATTCACAATAAAAACAATACTTCAAATTCTTGTGGAATGACTCATCTTTCATTTAGAAGGTGCAGCGAAAATCCAGTTGTCATACAGAAATTGTGGAATGTTTGATTGGTTAAATATAAAAGATAGGAGCAGGCATTATCTGACTGTGTCTGTTGAGGTTAGTCAGTGTTCAATCAGGAGAGACGGTTTTGATGTAAGAATACATATTTATTGCCAGGAATACACGAACGAATGTAATGGAGTTTTGGCGATTAGGCCCCGTTGTGCAGGAGTATCATTCGGGAGGGGAGAACTGATCCGATGAAACCCCCCGGGCAGTGGCGGCCGGCCCATAGGGGCGCTAGGGGCGCCGCCCCCCCTCTTCCCACATTAAAAATAAAATAAATAAAAAAATATATATTTAAAAAATATATTTTTTATTTGTATTTTTATTTTTAATAAACAAGGTAAATATTATATAATTGGTATCAGTAAAATGTATAATCTACAATAAAATCTCGTTTAAAATTGTGTTACGATGTCTAAAGTTACTGATAAGTCACATGTTTCCTGCCTGGCCTTGCCCGTGTATCATTACTCCCTCTCGTCTGCGCGCTATGCACAGCGCCCAGACGAGAGTGCAGCAAGTGCAGCAGAAGCCAACTGTTGCTATCTTTAAACTATGCCGCCGAAACATAATTTCAGCCAATCAGCGTCGTCAAATCTGATGGTCACAGGGCTCCTACGTGAGCGCCCGGTGCAGTCTGTGAGTTGTTTGGACTCGTATCCAAGGAGACAAAACAGGAAGCTGTCATACACTCTGGCAGCTACCATTAGCAGCTAATGAAAACTCAGTTTTTGACATAAAAATGGAATTATGGATCGTCAATCATTTTTCAAAGTGACAGACATATTGGATTAACCTATGGATTAACCTTCAGCTGCGTTTTTCTCATTTTTGATCAGAATTGTTATTCTGCAAAAGGTGAGCATATCTCCATGTTTTGCTACCTAAAGCTACGTCGTGTGATGTCTGTATTTGCTTCCCCTGTCGCAAGTTCTGATCGCTCAGTGATGATACTTATATTTCTAGAATCTGTGGAATCTCAGCTTGTAAGCTTGTTTGTGCATATCCGATAAGTATATCGATTGATTTATACCTAGAGTGCGTTAGCATTTTTTCGCTCAGGGCTCATTTAGACGCTTCTTGTGAGACTTGTGTTTTGTTTCGGTAAACATGGTTCATATCATCAGTTAGATGCGTTTCCTCTGAGTAGGACACATGAATAGTTTATTACATTTTAAGAAGCCCTGAGACACAGTTTCGTGAGAAAAAAAACGGGGGGGAAAAGCCCCTTAACAGGTTAAATGGGAATTAAATCAGTGTTCCCAAAGCCCCGGTGTTCTGCAGTTTGTGTGGGCCTACTGTACTGTTGCACAGTTTATGCTGTAGAAACTATGTCCAGGACAAGGTGTTTGGAAGTTTTGGAAGATACATAGCTAACCACACTGAAGTTATGGAGGTATTGATCAGTCGTCTCATATTTTTAAGCCTCAAATTGTCCTTCCCCCCCCCCCTCTAATATCACTAGAAGTCATAATTTAAGGGGTCTTTTCTCAAAATATTTGAGTATTAGTAGTATTGTTTGATCACCATTTCCACAGCCCCACCTAAAATATTTTCCACCAGCCGCCACTGCCCCCGGGGTCTTGACTCTGGTGGTGGTGAATGGATGGTTGGGTTCGGTCTGAAGGGGAGGGGCTTAGCTTGACCCTGGATTCAGAGGGACAGGAGGTGAAAAGGGGTGGAGGAGGGTTGCGTCGAGTCACCTGAAATGACAGCTGTCAGAGGGGAGAGCAGATTTAAAAGGGTTAGCGGAGCGCTATGATAGGCTTATGAGAAGACGGTCTTCCTGGTTGAACTTGCGCTGAGCTTCATTTCAATCAGGAGAGATGGTTTTGATGTAAGAATACATATTTATTGCCAGGAATACACGAATGAATGTAATGGAGTTTTGGCGATTAGGCCCCGTTGTGCAGGAGTATCATTCGGGATGGAAGAACCGATCCGATGAAACCCCTAAAAGAAATGAAGTATAATGAAATGAGATGTACTGGGTTTCTTACCTTACGAGCTGGCTGCGGTGATCTATGGATATAATGAGAGAATTATACAGGGATGGAGAAGACGTGATATTGAATAGCGTAGAATTAAAGAGTGGAGTTGCTCTTAGGGAGCGGACCTTCAGCTCGTTAAAGCCGAACAATGACACGACAATTATAGCCTGATTCAACACAGAGCCGAGACACGGACCCGTGCCCTGGGTCAAATGAGTAGTTTGCAAAGGAACGTAGCAAAGGGACATGACATATGAATATATGAAACGGGCTGTAAGTGCATGAAATGCACATGGGGTTTTAACATGAGATGGTGTCATATCAATATCATATCGGGCTTAAAAGTGCATGAAATGCACGGGGGTTTTATCATGAGAATGCTGAGCGTACGATAATACATTGGTGATCATATCCTGGCTCACACAAGCCTGAGACCCTTCCGGTCGACTGCATGAATGTGCAGGGGTTTTATCATGAGAATGCTGTGCGTACGATAATGCATGGATGGTCATATAGTCCTTCCCTTTCCGGTGGAACTCATGGGACCTTATTTCGAAAAAATTATATATTGAAGTCAATGGCGAGAGAAAACGTATCTTTCGATCCTGTGTGTTTCTTGTCAACACTCAATGGAGTAAACTACTAGACATGTCAAAAAAACCAAAGACATTAAGCAGCTATGTTGCCGTAACACTCCCTGCAAAAATTCTTCTGACTTTCTATGATTGATTCTACTGGGTGCTGGCCGAGCCGCGCAGGACACAACCGACGGACCTGTGAAGCTTTACAGGAGGCAGAGGCACGCTTCGTGTGGGGTGAGTACCAAACATTGTCTCCTGGTACTCATCTGAGTAACTCACTAAAAAGGTTATGTGCACCCCTGAATATAATACATTAACCGTGCTTTACCTGAACCTCATCATGACACTAGAGAGGACGGCAGGATTGCAATTTCCCGTGTTCAGTAAATGCAATTATTATGTAAAAGATTATTTCCAAGGCACACCTTCATATTATAAATACAGTTATAAAAAAAATAAGAGAATAAATGAAAAACAGTTATGAAATACTATATGACAGGAAAACAAGAATACAGTTTAAAAGGAGAGTAATTTGTAAAATATCCATAAAGAAAAAGAAAATCTGTTTACAGTTCTGTTTCATATGGGTGTTGAGAGATCTATCCATTTTGCTCTCAAATGCCCCTTTCACACCAACGCGGTTCCAGGGCCGGTTCGGAGCTGGAGCTTGAAAAGCAGTTTTTTCCTGTTCACACCGCAGCGGAGCCGCCTCTAAGCTCCGGAATCTGGTTAGTTTCAAGCACCAAAAAGTTGTCGGTCTAGAAAGCAAGCACCGCATACGTCACGCTTACGTCGGAAGATCTGGGCTGTGTCCAAATAACACGCGACATCCGCCTTTCCGCCAGCTTCAACATGATCTGTGGAAATAACATTGAGAATCAGTTTTTAATGTTATACCATAGTAATTAATGCTGCAAAGCTGGGTATTTTGAGCTTGGCGCATGCAGAGGCTAACAACAGCTAGCTCTAACGCCATCGAATAGGACGTATATTTACCTTCTTTCTCCTACCGAATCGTCGTTGAAGTTGATGATGATTGTAAAGAAGTCTTGAATGTAGCATGTAACGACTGTAAAGTTGGTAGTAAAGTCGTCCCATTTCTTCCATTTCGTTTCGACAGAGCAAAACCAAAACGAGTAGCGCTTCAATACAATCGGTCATTGTTGTTGTTGTCGATGTGAGGGGTTTCCGTGCGGTTTGGCTTTATGAAGCAGGCACGCAAACGGTTACGTCATGACGCAAACAATGACGCAATGACGCAGCACCAGTCGGGCTCTGAGCGGTGTGAACAGAGCGGGAGCTGAACCGAAGAACCGGTTTCGAACCAGAAAAGCTAGAACGGGAAAAGCCTTGGTGTGAAAGGGGCACAAGTGCACCAGATTGATGCCTTTTTCTTATATTTTACAAATCACTCCCCTTTTAAACTGTATTCTTGTTTTACTGTCACATAGTATTTCATAACTGTTTTTCATTTATTCTCTCTGGCTGTCCATCTCATAATGTTCACATTACTAGCTGTCAATAGGAATATCATTCAGAAGAATTATAATTTCATGCAAAAATCTGTCACAAAAAGAGGTTGCACATTTAAATTCAGGTGTTGTTATGGCAACGTCAGTGGCCAAACAGCCACATTTACTGCTGCAAATACGTTCAAACATGCTGTGGACACGTAAAACAGTGGCAACTATTGGCGCGTTTCCACTACAGCGCGCAGCCCGGTTTAAGAGGGCTGTGACCACTTGGCCTAGTACCGGCCGGCGGGTCCTAATTCACAGTTTTTCTGGCCTCATAAAATCGTGGGGCCAGGGCCAAAGACAACCGGGCTGAGTTTGTGACGTCAACGCTCTCGGCTGCTGATTGGTCGGAGAGAATCGTCACAATCTGCGCGCGAGATAATCCATTTTTACAAACAGCATTTTTGTTAACAGAGGAGCTACAACAATGGCAAAGAAAAGCACACCATGGTCGGTCGAGGAAGTGACGACGTCCATTATATTGCAGATGATAAGGTCCAGCGGGTGCTCGACGGGACAACTCGCAATATCAAAGTCTTTCAGGAGGTCTCTACACAGACACTGGACTCTCCAACGGCGTTACTGGAGTCTGCATGGTACGTTTTTGCTAACGCTCTGTTATTTGCTTGAAAGCTTTGTGTCCCTGCTTTGTGTCCCTATCTGTTCTAAAGCTCACTTCTAACAAATAAGTCTATTTTATCCTTACATTTATGTTCGACAACCCATGCTTTTATGGAGCCCCGAAGGCTAGCTAGGCAGATAGCATTAGCGAGAGCTATTGTTTGCTAACACCATATGTGCAATTGTTTACGTTCAGTTTGTCTTTTCTATAG